ACTTTGGAGCGGAAGCAAAGTTTCAAATTATGATGTCATATTATTGACAAAAGAGGAAATTAAAACATTTACACTTTTAATTTCAATCTTTGGCACTGATCCATTCGACTGCATAACCATTGCAAATAATGTAACAATAGTCCGAGATAAGAAACAAACACTGTTAGTTACATGAACCAACCAAAACGCTGGATTCTTATGGTACCGCCTGCATGTGGTCTAGGAAAAAAGCCAATTGCAAACTTTTACAATTTCATCAGTTAATTTCATCAGCCTTACCTGGCACTGTGGAGGAGTAAAATTGTCTATCTGTCATATGGAAAAAGAGCAACGTGCCTAAACGTGGGAAACGTACGTAGAGCAAAGATTTAAGGGTATTGCTGTTGTAGTGGTTGTTGTTGTTTTTTTTATTTATTATTATTCTGTAGAGGCAGGGAACACTAGAAATTTGTGCTATTAATAGAACGATGAATTCTCATCATAATCCATGGCATTACAAGTGATTTTCTGAGGGGACAAGAATATTGCTCATCGATGCTGTTCAAAACTGCATAATTGTAAAAACAAGAAAAAAATGCGATAAAATCTTGATAAACGAAATTATAAGCACAGTCCATTGTCAAGGGGTTTGTTACGCAAGAATTTAGCCGAACTCTGTAAATGTAGTCTTACCCAGTTAATGAATACCAGTACAAAAGCTCGATTCCTCTTTTAAGAGCATCAAGGAAATTCTTTCCATATCCAGGAATTATCCGTTTGGTTTCTGCTAGATGTGGGTGGTTAAACAACACCTATGTTGTTATATCTTTGCCACTCTTGTCAGATGTATTTATGTAAATAAGGATTCCAAACATTCTTAACGGGGAGAACTAAAAAGAACCTCTGTTGCCTTTAATGAGAAGCATGTATAACAACCTTTATCATTACATAATTGCTTCTTGAAAGTTGAACGAAATATCTCTGGAATGGAAGAAGTCGAAAACATACTGACGAGCTTGATTATTATTCATGTTTTGCTATGATTGTTCTAGCACAGACACCTGAATATTTTGAGACAGTGAGAAAGAAATTGCTCTTTCGGTAATAAATGCGAAGATATCGGGGTCACCAATTAACTCTTGGGCGAAAACTATCTCATATCACTACATAAATAAATTTTCGAGAATTGTTTCCGGAAATGGTAACTGACTGATCCAATGTACAATTTTATAAAAGCTACATATGAAACAAAAGTGATACACATAAGAAGTACCGCGCCGCCTTTGTTGATTTTAATTCCATTTGTTCTGTCCATTGTTGACACGAAAAATAAACAGCGACATTGACGTCACTAATTAAATGGCCCTCGTAAAGCAGATGGTGTTTAATTTCTTTCGATTTTCAATTTTGAATTTTAAAGGAATTGATTTTCTGATAAATGAGAATTTCTTGTGAGTTGTCACTTTACTTCAGAAAATGAAAGTATATTGCTATTACCTTATTTAAATATCTACGAGAAAATTATACAAAAGATTTGGAAACTCTTTATTTAATATACGTTTTGTTGTTTAATTTCAGTTACACAACATTATGCTTTTTCTAATTTTTATAGGCTTTATGTTTTAAAAGGGACAGTGAAATTTTCGTCTTTTTCGAGCAGAATTTCACCTCATTTAGTGCAGGTTTATTGTTTGAACAAAAGTTGAAAAGTTCTTATTTTTGCCATCATATTACGAGATGGGAAACAAAACGTTTAACACCAACCAAACAAAAAGCAGGATGCGAGGATTGAGTTACGTCAAAGTGACAAGCCATAACAGAGGATCTGCTCTGAAAGCTGTCAAGCCGCATTATTAATAATTTCCTGCCAGCTCTACTTTAGACGAATTGTTTGCACTGACCAAATTTTGAATCCTGTTAAGCATCCGTCCTTAAATGATGCAGTTTTCTCACGTACGACAATTCTGGTATTGCCATTTAGAAGAAGAACGTATTCGTTTTTAATCATAGCCAAAGACTGGCGTCTCTCAGGTACAGATTTAAACTGATTCATGTCATGACCTATCTCACGTATAAAAATAAAGCTGGAAATGTTGTTTTTTGATGTCTACATTTATTGCTTTGTTTCAGAATCACAATGAGGAAGACTTTTATCACCGACTTGCTGATTATTATTGGTGTTATCTTGGTATTTTTATACGGTTTGTATGAAAATAATTAATTCCCTACCTTTTTATGCCTAAACAAAGCGCAGGTCCCTTCAGTTTTAAAATATTTCAATCGCAGCAATATCTATAATTGTTTACTCAGGTTGGTCCTCTCGCCATTACGCCTTTATGTTGCAGAGAGTAGTGGAAGAAACTACATTTGCACAGTAAATGAACTCTTTCTGGTGCCATTTCAGTCGAACTAGTGACTGGTTGATGTCGATTAAAATGCGACTATACTGAAAACAAACGTTGAACAGAATAAGCAGAAAGGAATTAAATTACTTATAATTCGTGTGTTGCTAAAGCAAAACATCAGATTCAAGTATTTATAAAGAGAAAAATCACAAACATCAGTAGTGATGGATTCACAAAAGAGGCTCCAACACTTTCGTTTTTTTAATTTTTTTTTTTTTAATTTAATTTAAGCATCTTTTATTTTTTGTCATTACTTAGATTACTTTGTGAAGATTATCTTGTACTTGTGAGCACGCCGGAACAAAGTTTCTAGATATCAGTTATATGTCTATCAACTAATGGCAGAATACTGCATGGTATGGCCTAAATCATGCAGCAGGGAAACATTTTATCGCTTCATGTTTATTTTAAAATCGTTGATGCTATTAAAAAAAAAAAGTCAAAAAAACAAGGACAAAAAGCCATGTCTTTTTTTTTATTAAATATTTTTTGGTACTTTTACTTATATGGTTGATATTGAGTTTTATATGAAGTATGTCTTAGTTAACGTGCTTCTTAAGTACACATTATCACTTTCGACCGAGCTTGGTGCCAAATTAACAATAACTAGACGCTTTGCTGCGTGTAATTGAGCTAAATGCTCTGGATTTGGAGTCCTACGAAATTCAATCGAATCGATGTGCTCAAGTTATTCTGCCTTTGATTGAATCTCTTGGAATCGATTAATAGCTTATTACTCGTTTGCAGGCCTTTGGGCGTGAAATTAGTCAAGGTCTTTATATCAACCTGTACACGTTTCAGTCTATTTTCCTTAGCCTTTATCGTTGTTGTTGTTGTTGTTTTTGTTGTTGTTGTTTGCGTTTCTCAAGCAAGCGAGACATTTTGAATTTCAGAGTTATGGCGGTGCGTGACATAGACCTACGAACGCGTTTGTTGAAAAACATATACTTATCTTGTGATTTTCAGCCCATCCAGAAGTTAGAGTATTAGGGAAAGTGCTTATGTAAATGCATTTTTGTTCAGTACAGATAATCAGTCGCCTAGATACCCAAAGTAAGTCACAGATGTTTACACTATTTTCCGGCCGCCATGTTGGTGTACCGCGGAGGTACACCAACATGGCGGCTCCATACTGGGCTCTGTAAGTTGGTGCAAAATATTTCGACGAATATCTAAGGTTTGGGAAAACGCACAGACTTAAAAATTAGAGAAGTGTCATCTTTATTAATCTCCTCACAATTCTTTGACTTTATCTACTAAATGGTTTTCGAATAGTTTTTTTATTGCGTCAGGATTGCGTGACAGTGCAAGCCAAGAATTGTTTTGCTGGGGTCAACATACATCAGTTCCTTTAAGCTTAAATGTACAATAATTCGCTACATGGGTTTCATTCTTGTAAAGACACATAGCTCTGTTACAAGAAAATAACGAGAGAATATCGTTTAGTTCGAGATTTTAACTTTATTATACTTTACGAAGTTTCTCAGAGCGTTTTAATTAGGCGTACACGAACAGATACATTCGTAAACAAATTCTCTAACCTTTCTGCTCTTGCTACTCAGACTTCCTTGAGTTCGTGCTGGGATTCTACTTTGTTCGCGATCACGTCTAAAAATACCATGACGCTTCTGAAGATGCTTTTTATCGAGTTGAAGAGTTGATAGCCTCAGTTGATAGCTCCTCTGGTACATGATTCTTGATAAATTCACTCAAAATGTTCACTCGCAAATTGATCTCTCGTAAGGCTTGCAGACCGACCCGTTCCGAAAACGCTTAACGTCCTTCAGTGTTGGTATACCGCGATCGGTACGTTCGTTTGTATGTGATTTCATCCTCTAGAAATCATGGAATCCGTGTTAACTTTTCACGACGACAACCTTTGTAAATTTCATGTGTTGTACGCCTCATTCTCGTCCGCAGAGCCTCCGTTTTTTTTGGTCACGTGGTCGGAGAAATGGAGGGCTCTGGTAGCAGCCATCACCGGATGTCCGTAAATCACGGACATCCGGTAGCGCATGCGTAATTTTGGTCCGCACATCTGCTCATGCTAAGAAACTAATCCTGAGGGAGGGGAGAGAGGAATAGAGTCTATCCTTCAGGTAAACAAATCGAAGAAGCGTTGACATGTGTTTTCACTTCGCTGAAGATAGGTGATTTAGAGTTAAAAAGAGAATACAAAGCGGTATAAAGCGGCCTTGAATGCCGTCGCCGCTTCAAACACGATTGCAAGCTTGTCTAATATTTTACCAACGGGTTTCGTTGTGCATTTTGTGGTGGACCGTCTAGAAAAAGTCAGGGATCGATAGTTGTGTTCTTGTTGTCTCTTTACTTATTCGCTTTCAAGCAAAGTAATCAGGATACTACATGTATTACGTCTATTGATGACAAGGTAAAACAAGAAGATCTTTTAGATCTCATAACCGCGCTTTTAAAATTTAACTGTTTGCTTAGCACTACCGTCGGAACGTAGTGCACATTTCAAAGCA